CCTAAGGAGCTGCGGGTCTGAGCAGGCGCTGTCGCAGGAGCACGGCAACGGGGATGGGTTTCCAGGTCCTCCTCGAGGTCCCTCTCCCGCAGCGGGTCCCCGATGCTCGTGCCCCTCGCAGGCGTCCCTGCTGGGCACCGCGGAGCTGGCCAGTGGCTCAAACGCTACCCCCCGGGCACTCGTTCAGGAGGTTTTCATGTGCTTGGGGGAGTTATTTTATCGCTGAAGATGACACCTACTCATTCGGGCGCACACCTTAGCTGCAACACACCCTGTCTTTGCCAGTAATTACTGTTATTTACATGTACCTTGAGAATATGGAGCAGATGAAAAGCACAAACGGCCTTCAGAAACCAGGCTGTGGCATGGGTGAGAGCTGTTGCACCCCAGGCGCCTGCAGCACCCGAGCCCACTCCGCCCCAGCCCCGGGTGGGCAGGCAGCGGCTGCCCTCACGGAGGAAAGCAAAGCTTTCTGTTGGCAGCAACAAGCATTTAAGAAAGCGATTTTTTTTGAAGGAACAAAATGCAGTAAATTACTCTTCAGATGTGAAGCCTCAGGTGTAAAGCAATCTCTGCCTGCAATCGAAGAGGTTCGTTAAAGGGAGCTCAGCTGACGGGAGCAGCTCTTCCATCAGTTTCTGAACGATCCGCAGCACCAACAGATCCCACGGTGGAATTAAGGGAATAGAGCAACCAGGACTGAGCGATCCCGTGTGTTCTTTTGAATCTGAATTACCTTTCTGAAAACTCCACATGGTGCACAGAGCTTTAGCTTTAAACATATGGGCAACAGCCTTGTCTTCTTACAGACTTCTGTCGTTAGAATAATGTGACTTGAACAAAGAACTCCTCAAGTTTCAGCACAAGGGCTCCTGGTTTCCCAGTTAAAGTCAGTCACACCACAGCCCCTGCAGACACGTTGTGTGGCTTTGAGCAACCCAACAGACTGAAATTAGCAGGAAATAAATGCATTCACTCTTGACTGGGGTTACTGCCCGGGAGTGCAGCGGACAGCCAGGGCTGTAGCTTAACGAGCACACAGAGCTTGTTGGCCCAAGAGCCGGTGCTGTAGGAGACGACACCAGCAGCCTGCATGCCTGACAGGCGGCCGTGCCACCAGTTCTTCTGCGATCCGAAGAGAGTCCAACTCAGGAATTTTTCCTTTGGTTTTCAAAGTGCTTTTGCAGCGTAACTTCTTGTATGCAGTGTATTTCAGTAACGAATTCCAGGGTTTTATTCTCCTCTGGGCTTAAGAGGGAGACCGGCTGATGAAAGCCCTGAATCAAATACGGGCATTACCTTAAAGGACAAGAACCAGACCACTGTAAGTTTAAAAAAACCAAACATGTTGGATTTTATTTAGACTACTTAAAAAAAAGACCAAAAGGATTTAAAAAACATTACCATCCAATATACCCACTATTCCATTACAAACATCCTAGTTTACTGAAGCATCCGCATCATGTGTTCTCTTCTAGTTGTGAAGTCATGAAGGGCTTGTATCTGGTGCTACAATGAAGCTGTTTTTCTTGAGTAGGGCTTCTAATAGTATAGGGCAAAACGTGGCATTTTCAGTGCATTTGTAGAGTTCCCAGAGATTCTAAAAGCTCATGGCAAGCAAAACTACGATTTTTCACCGTTTGTGCCGTATTAGCGACTGCCTGCTCAGAGAACATGGACGTGTCTCAGCGCTCTCTCTGCCTTGTACTCGGCCATATCTCCAGCTGAGGTTATCCCAGGATATCTTAGTAGCGTGTAATGGAGTTAATTAGTAAAGAAAAGCAAAGACTGTTGTTTTGAGAAGAATCCTGCATCACAGAAAAGAACCCAAGATATGTCATTTACCTCAAGACTCTACTCAGCCCTTTGGAAATGGATCTCTTGAAACGCTGCATGAGGGAGCAAGTTCTCATCCCTGTAGAACAGCCACTCTACGAAAGACAACAAAGATTGCACCGAAAAGACCCCGAGACCCACTCTTTCAGCCTTGTTTGGGAGCACTACGCAGAGTTCTGAAAGTTTTCTTTAAAAGCCAAGAACCAGGCAGTCACAACGGGCATCCTCGCTGGCAAGAGCTGAGGCAGCAGTGGTTACACACGCCAGGCTGCTGTGGGGTTTTGGGGTTTGTTGGCTCAAGGCAACGCTCTAGGTTATACCACTACAGGCATCACACGTCTCTGCTTACCACCACCCTCAGCTTTCAGATGCCTCTAACATCCGCAGCCCTCGAGTGCCGTTACCCACATCTCTCAGCCGTGCTGCTCTCCCAGCCTCCACGGCCACAGCACGCCCTGCCTGCAAACGCAGAGAGGCGATGCGCATCTGCATCTCGCTTCAGCCACAAATCAACCAGAAGGGCCTTTGAGAAAGACTACATTTACACTGTGGTCATTTAACTAGAAGGAAGGGAGAAGGCCTGATTCCTAACACAAGAACCAAAACCAATGGTAACTCCCTAGGGCAGAAATCCCGAGCAGCAGGATCTCTCCGTATTGTACATCTGATCTGTGTTTAGACACACGACGTTTTCTTTTCTGTCTGCTGTAAGATATCCTTTGCCCCTAAAGGCCCCGTGAAGTCACTATGCTGGTCATCTGACGTTATTAAAACCCAGATTCCTTTGGAGACAAGTGATACAGGCAAGGAAGATACAAAAGCCGCACAGCACATTTTGAAATCAAATGAGTACTCCATTAAAAAGAGACACATGAACTGAGTCAATATTTATTCTTTCTTCTCGCTGTCCTCAGTGATAGGGTCTGCGGGAGGCTCTTCAACGGTCGCGCTATTGCTCTCTGAACCAGTGTTGCTGTCACTGGTTCCCTCCTCTGCAGTGCTATCGACCCCTTCTTGGCCACTCTCCTTATCATCTGGGGTCGATGTTCCTTCTTCACCATTCTGCTGGTTTTCTGTGCTCTCTTCTGGGTGAGGCTCTTCTGTAACAAGATTATTTCTCAGTGTCATTTACATGCCAATACATTTAATTAGGCTGTGCAATTAGAACTGAGGAAGAAATAGAATCTGTAATAAATCCGAGTATTCCGTAGCAGTTATTTCTGTCACTTAGAATGTGCAGTGAAGGCACAGCTCTGAAAGACCTCTCAGTGCTTAGGAGGCACATGGTCCTACCTGCAGCTGCCTGACCTCACAAGTCTAGCCACAAGAAAGCAGCACGCCTTGGTAAACCAGAAGCACTAGAATTCAAGTTCCTTGGTCCCCTTTCACTTTTGCTCATGCTGTTACGGCAACGGCTCACTGATATATTAGCCACCAATACTCTTAAACACAACAGGATTTTCTAATGACACCGTACAGAATACAAAAAAGCCTGCAAATCAGCTTGTGAGAGCAGCATGGGAAGGAGTGCTGTTCCATCATCCTTGATAGACATGGAGACTGGGACAAGGAAACACTTGCAGTTGCTCCTCGCTAGCTGATGTCCAAAAGGTGAGTTAGGTTTAGAAAGCAGTTTTCTTCCCTCTTGGGTACATCACACACAAAGCATTACACACTGCTTTGTGGGATCTTATCCTCTCCCATTTTTGAAGGGGGCAATTTAGTGAGAAGAGAGCAAACCCTTGTGTTCCCCAAGATGAAGTTAACTATTCTGAATGCTGTTCTTCAGCCTTTCTTCCTACTAACAGCAAAAAAAGAGGGCACTCCTGGCTAAGTTGAGCCTCTACAGAGGTACTTAAATGCTGATCCTTCAAGGATTCTGACACTGGTCTTTGAATGCAGTTACCTGTCTCCATTGGAACACTCTCCTCTTCTTTCTTCTCCTCTATCTTGTTAGCTGCCTGTTCCTCCTCAGCTGCGATGTTATTCTGACTGCGTTCGGCTTGCTCAGCTGCTTCTTTCTCCCTTTCCTCCTGCCTCTTGCGAGCCTGTTCCTCAGCTTGAGCAATTTCAGCTGCAATCTTTTCCATGTCCACTTCCACCTTCAAACTGCATAACTAGCAATTAAAAAAAAAGGAAAGCTCTTTTACTACCCCAGTTACATTGAGAAAGAAAACATCAGTAAAACCCAGTTATGAGTTCGATGTTTCTACATGCAGCGTAATTCTTTTGATTTGACAAAGTTTACATTAAAAGCTTCAGTAACCAGGGAGGGAGATACGAGCACATTAACAAAAAAAAAAAAAAGAGGGATAAATAAACAACCTAAACCTTGGTATCTGAACACAGCCAAGGGCAGAGCAGCATGCTCTCCACAGCAGCTTTAGGCCACCGTCCTTGAGCTGCTCTCTAGTGATCTCAGCCAGTGAAGCCTGAAGGCACTTTTAAACTGTACTGGCTGAATGTCACCACTAAAGGTCACTGAAGGAGCACGAAAGAACGCAAATGCTGTGTGCTTTCTGACACCCACACACTAGGACACTGCAGTCGGCAGTCAGGCAATAATACATGATTGAATACAGAACTAAACAGAAGAGGGTGGAGCTCTTGTACAAATGGGTAACTAGCAGATTCCTCAGAGCAAGTGGAGAAAAGTGAGAGTTGTACCCTTTTAAGCTCGTTGTTAAAGGATTCTGAAAAAAAAACGCTCTTCAATTTGCAGCAGCTCAGCTTCTAGTTTACGCTGGAAATGAGATAAATGGCAAGAACCTTACTATGCACTCATCTGAAGAACTGGAGAAAGTTTACAGCTACGTACAAAAATACTTCGACTAGTATTTTGAAATACACTTATTCAATACATAAACATCCTTATGCCTTCCTTGATCTAATACCTAATAGCTAAGAAGTTCATACTGAAGAGTACGAACATGTCTACGCAGTAATTCAGGATTGGCTAGGCATATTATAAATGAAAAACAGGATGTATTTGAGGTGAAATTTCCAGCATAAAATCTACACATTTTCTTTCATATTATACACCCCGTAGGTATACATATACACACACACACATATCAACTGCATTCTCTAATTGAAGACCACCACAATTCCAAGGAAAGAAGGGATACCACCCCCCTCTACCCCCCCAATCTTGTTTTGTTAATTAAAAAAACCCCAACAAATCTCTGTCTCATTCTGGTCTCTCAGTTTTCTTCACCTACATGTACACTGACTATACTGACAGGGTTCTTTTGTTAACACGCTTGTGTGGAAAATACAGGCACATGTCCAGTCAAAGCTAGGTGAAACATGTCAGTGTGACCTCACCACATTTCCTTGTATGCATTTAACTTTCAATGAAAAATGTTACAATAGGGAGGATTTACTGTAATAAAAACAAGATTATGAGTCATAAGCTACCTGAAAGTCACAACTTGACCAGTACCTATGAAACAGAAGCCTTACACTCCATACAGAAGGGTTACGTATAATGATGAAGAGCTATGGAATTAATACTTAAGATCTCCTAAAACCAAAATACAGTTTAACGTGATTCTCTGTAACAAAACAGCACAGAAGGTGAAGCCTCATGTCTTGCAACTCCCAAGAAAACCCAGAGATTAGCTAGTCGAGCGTCTAGAACGTTGACACCCAACAAGAATAGTCATGTAGTGATCAAATGATCCGAGACTTGGAGTACAGCCCAACATCGTTATGATTAGCTGCCCTCATATCATTTATCTTTACCTGATGAACCATTAAAGACTGAACCTGACGTTTAAGAACTTGCATTCTAGCTGTAGTGACAACAGAGCGGACATCAGGCACCACACTTTCACTCAGTATCTCACTGATGAGACGGTGGTTTCTTTGGAAACGAGCTGTGGCTGTGTGCTTCATAGAAAATCCATCGTCATAATCTGAAACAAGAGTTTTAAGTGCAACTGCTTTAATGCCACAAAACAAGCAACAAGTCTAATGACATTGTACCTACATTAGCACTAATTAAAAACAAAGTAAAAACCCTAACACCAGTTGCTGTCATGTCACAAAGTTCACACTCACAAATACAGAACATCAGGTAATCAGAAAAAAGGCAGTGGGAGGACAGAACACCACTGACCCTGGCACAGCTCTAACAGCTCCTATTTTACATGCATTTCCCACATGTTTGAAATTAGTTATTTACTGTGTTGCTTTCCATGTGTCCAGAGCAAGAGGGACTATTAATACGCCCAATAAAAACCATTCCTGATTAGTCGTGTTACCGGAACAATATCCAGTGCAAAATACCAACAGGAGAGCAACTCCTCTATAAATAAGCTTTGTTGCACAGATCAAAGAGACTTATTTTTTGAAACACTGAGGAATGAAAGCGTGAAGCAGCGCTACGTTTACTCATCACTGAAATTTCACAGTAACGTAGTATGAGTATTCAATTTCCATACACATTTTTTAGTAAATGCAGTTCTCTGAAGAACAGCTACTAGGAAAAAAAAAAACCACTTCAGAAAAAAAGTACATAAGCACATAAGTCAAGTGTTGGTCTCCTTATAAGCTTCTTGCAGAGAAAAGACATTACAGGAAGCCCAACAGGAACCAAACTGCCCCGTTTGATGTGCATCTAGAGGATTAACTACAAAGATCTAAGAATATTTCAGGCCAAGGATTTTTTTCCTCTCTGATCAAATTAAAAGAGCTTCCAATTTATGGCAAGATACTGAACTCTGACAATTTTAATCTAGCTACACAATGTAACATGAGCTACAGCATTATGGATTTCACTAAGTATTCATTTTAAAAGTCAGTTTGATGCTACAAAGCAGATCAAAATAATGTGTTTTCCTATACTGAGCAGCACTCGAAAGCTTCCAGCTCACAGAAGACAGAAGCCTTCCTACGCTGACTTTCTGTGTTTCCTCAAGGAAAGCAGGCAAAGCCTTCCAAGCTAAGAAAAAAATCAAACCAGTCTGCAGTTTTCACATCAAGAACCTATCTACAAAACAGACTAAAAAAAATTCAAGTCAAACTAATTAGAATTTAAAGCACAGTAATTAAATAGCATTAAGTACTGGTGAGGAAACAAACTTAGAAGAAACTTCTGAGTGTTAATTCATATTTAGTTGAGTATTAAAAAGTTAAGCAACAAGTATGAATTATCTTCCATGTCATGTAGAAAAGTCCAGAAATTGAATTTATTTTAGATCAAGTTTTCCTAAGTGAGATTACTTTCCAACTATTCACAGAAATCTTGAGGGAAATCCCAAAATGCCATGCCACAGAATTTTACCAAAGATGGTAACCAGTTCAACGGAAGTTTCTCTCTGCTTTATTTCAAAGTGTTACGTCAAATTTCTTGTTGAGGTAACCGATTAAATGAAGCAAAGAGAGAAAACCAGTGGGAAGACAACAGATTTGCAAGAGACAAAGAAGTACTAAGCAAACTGGTCCCCTTAAAAGTTATGCCTTTGTTCTCTTAATAAGATTCCTTTTATGCTAGAAGTTCTTGACCCTAGGGACGTGCAGGCTGGGAGAGCAGCAACACCTCTGTCACAGACGGTAACAGGCTGTCTCGTCCCAGGTGCAAACGGGTGCAGCGCAGGGCCCAGGGCAGCTGGTTCTGGCCGTGTTCATTTGGCCCAGGTAGCCCAGAACAGCACTTTCAGTCCCAAAATGCCAGTTTCTGGAACACTAATGTATTTACATAAATTTTGCAGTTGCCTCACACCGGGCAAAGTGCTGTTTGTCATCAGCTTTATCTCTAGGGTGTGCTTTTATAAGGGGGAAGAAAAAAAAAGGGGTGTAACTGACTGAGTACATTTCTCACCCTCAGGTTTCAATAAGGATTTGGTCACGAATTCAAAAGCAGACACTAGGTGTACAAGTCCGAGTTTTTCCCTTGGGTGGGGTGAATTTCCTTGCAGTCAAATAAACTTTCAGAATTTTCTCATCAGCTTGTCAGCACCAAGGGCAACTTATTTTCTAAACAATCTCAAATGACAGTTGTGGAACACCTTCAAAGTTCAGGTGCTCTTCATCAGGCCAGAACTCTGCCTGTCAGAATTATGTGGTTCTGCTAATAAAGTACAAAATTCCATGCCAGCTGGATTAAATCAGGCATCTAAGCCTTTTATAATGCACATGTTAAAACCATGACAGAGCTTTAAGCAGACTTTTCTGTTTTGAACTGTAAGCATTACTTCACACGTAATTAAGGGCTGGAATAACTTTTGCCACTGGCTTGCCACCTTAGTTTATGGAAACAAGACAAAGTCAGCCGTCAGCTGTATGAAATAGAATGTGACAATGAAAATCACTATTCAAAATAGGAAGGAAGTCACATTAAGCATTGTGAAAGTTGTGCACTGGTAGTTTTCCATATCTGGTGTCTGTTTCTCTATACTGTCGGTCCTGCAAGGAGACTGTCTCACTGGACACGCACACAAATTCCTTTCTGCTTACCATCTGGATCTTCTGCTGGCTGTATGCTCATGTAAGGTTCACCTTTCTCCATGCGTGACTGCCTTTGCCGGCTTTCTTCTTCCAACGCAGCCTCAGCACGACTTTTTGCGTTGATGTAGGCAAGGTATGCAGGAGAGTTATGGTAGGCCTTCATGGACTCATTGTACTCTATCTGAAATGTGACCAATATTGTTTGATTGCACCACTGGATGGTTTCAGACATGACATTAGTGCAGTCTGTAGAACTCAAACTGTAGTTATACAGACAAAGCTCTTTTGAATCATCTGGCTGATGCACAAATGACCACATTCTCTCAGTCTTTCTTTTTACAAATGAGAACTTCTTCCATAGTCATTCTTAAAAACACTAGCTGGGCTTTCAGGTACATTTCAGTTTAAATACCTGAGAAATCTTATGATAGTTTTGGTTTTTGAGATTTGAAAATCAAACACCTCAGAACAAGGCATTTATGATCAGACAAATTCTGGTAAGATTAAGAAAAATGAGTTAACTTAAAATATTCTCAATAATTCTCTGGAGTTCTAACTAGATCTTTGATTCTGATTTCTTCTCTTTTGTTACTCCGGTACGTCATGAACCAGTTTTCAAAATAACTTACGATTATTCCGTTCTTTGATCCATCCCTGCACTGGGATGATACAGAATGCTGCAGCCAGACTACTGTCTCCTCCTGGTACCAGGACTGCATCACTATTTTCACCTTCTTTGAAGTATTTTTCCCTTTGAATTGCTTTCTTTAATCTCACTTTTAAAATTCGCAAAGTCTAGATTTTGTAAAGTGATTTGAGATATTTCCAATGAAAAATGAGATATAATCTACAATATTGTTAGAAGTACCTAAATGTCTTGTTTTCTGGATGATTAGGACCGGAATCCTTCTACCTAGGCACTGTAAAAATATAAGCAGTATGGCCCTTGCCCCAAGGAGCTTACAATCTAAACATCATTACCATGTTAAAAAAATTGAATTCCTTGATTTTTTTTTTTTTTTCCAACTAAGAGCATCCAGCTTTGAAGTATGTCTCTATCAACATGGAATAAAACCACCTTAGATTTGACCAGGTTACACACAGCCTCAGATGCCTACCAGGTTTAGGCACAACACAGCAGCTGGACGATTTTCCCTTTGTACCTTACAATCACAGTAACAGTCTTGTAAAGGTCCTCAACACTTACCAGCCTAGACACATGAGGTAGCTGTCACCGTTTGTCATGAAGATCAATAAAAACAAAACCAAACCACAAGAAAACACTGAAGTGGTAGCATTTTTCTATCAAGAAACAAAACACTATGCCATAGCGTGGAGTTACACCAGATTACACCATGGAAACCAAACGCTACGTGACTGGAAGTCTTTTATGAACACGTTCATGACAACAGCAGTAGTTGCAGAGCACCAGTTTTGAAAGAGGATTTTGGTGTTGAGACAATCTTTTCAATACTGATGTTGTACAATCAAATCCATTCATTAAACAGTTAAAATCGACACTCAATTATAAACACTTCATTTTGAATTAGGTCTAAAAACTGACCAGTCACAGTTGATGTACAGTTATTTATAAAAAAAAAAAAAAAAAATCTAAAAGCCATGTCAGGACATACTTCCATTTAAGTTACATACAGTGGTCTCGTGAATGCCTCATACACCACTGCATGGGTAAGACGAACTTTTCTTCTCAGACCAGTTCCTAGAAGAATCAGCTGTAATAAACATCCCAGATTTCTTCCATTTACCTTTTCAGCTTCATATTCATTCAAATACTCTTGCTTCTCTTCATCAGTGAGATCTCGCCACATTCCTCCAATAATCTTGCCAATTTCCCATAACTTCAAATCAGGATTGGACGCCTTCACTTGGTCCCAGACCTTAACAGAAACAGCTGGAGCTTTACTAATGATATCTAAATACTTCCAAATTAAACATTTTATATTGTCATCTCAGAGTTCTTTCTGGAATCACCACGAAAAACAGGATTAAGTTAGGAATGAGTCTGGCTAAACTATCCCGATTATGTTCTGGG